TTCCCTACAAGACTGACTTCACCTTCAGACACAAATACAGAGAGAGAAAGAGAGAGAGAGAGAGAGAAAGAGAGAGAGGTTTATGCTTTAGCACGGGATGTTGAAGGGTTTTCTAGACAAGTGCTCAGTCAGATGCTGAGCACTTGTCTAGAAAACTGATAAATCTCTCTCATACACACACACATACAAACACACGTAGCGCCTATCAGTCTATGGCTGCAGATCTCCCCTTGTCATCATTCTTCAGCTTTTTACTGTGCCTCCCTGTATAGAGGCTCATCACCAAAGTACAGGTGCAATGAAATGGAGCAGGAAATAAAAAATACAAAAAATAAAATAAATGGAGGAAACAAAGCATTTAGAGACAAATGCGACTTTGTCCCGAGTCTGTGTCTCTTCCCATTGGACTGAACCAACGGAGGCTCTGTAGACATCTATGGATCATGCTGGACAGCTGAGCTGAGCTCAGGTTCAAATCTCTCTGCAATTAAAATGATGGATGAACAGATCTGCTTCCTGCTATTGCATATTAGACTGTAGGGAGATTGATTTATGTGTTAGCTCTCTCTCTCTTTGACTGGGAGCATTTTAATTGAAAATAAAATGTCTGTATAGTTTTTTTTTTTGTGTGTGGCTAAAATAGAACAACACCTTAAATGCTGGTGCGCTGTTTGTCCCTTTTTACTCCCCAGCCTCACCCACTGCCCCGTCTCGATGCTCACTTATTTTTCTTTTCTTCTCCCGGTACATGCCTCTGGAATCCCTCTTAATCCACTTAATGAGGGACATATCGCTGGGTTAGCCAAGCATGGCAAATGGGAGAGGAGACCTGCAAGGTCTGGTCTTTCAAAACCGAGTCGAAATGGCAGACGAGGTGGAGAGAGAATGAAAATTAGTTACATTTTTAATTTCAGAGAAAACAGGTAAGCAGAGTATGTGAGATCGTTTTTGTGGATGGAGGTAGAGAGACAGGGAAAAAAACAAGATAAGGAAAGGGAGACAGTGCTTCTTCATGTCTGGGCTGTGAGGGTTCCTGGCGTGCTGATTTGTGACTAATGATAAAAATCACATTGCCAGGGATTACCACACAGTCTTAACCCAGTCAACTGCTTTGGTGAGGTTCTCACTCCCTCGTCATTTTCAAACCTTAAGAAAAAAAAAAGAATGATTATTTCAGAATAGGACTGTCAGTCCATTAAAAAAATCTTCAGTCACGGGGTAGTTATGAATTAATCAACATTATTAAATATGACAAATATTTTTTTTTGTATTTTTAAAAAATACAATTTTTATTTTTAATGAATCCAAATGAAGGAATTATTTATATGGAGAATTGTCAAAGAAAGTTTAACTATAGTTTAACTTTATGGAGTTGAATTTTAGTCATGATGACCTTGTGAACAATCACAAAAAAAACAAAAAAAACAAAACAAAACAAATCCGATCTCTGTCGATTTGCCAGTGATTTGAAAGACCACAAAAACAACAAAGAAGATGATCAAGAAGCCAGAGAAAGTTTGTGGATGGTGTGTCTGTGCATCACTCAAGCAGATGACTAGTGTTTTGTCTCCTCTCTCCAGCCAGGCACAGAGCTTAGCTGATTGGTGAACAGTGATTGATTTCCTCTTTGTTCACAGTGGCTAAGTTCTGCACCTGAGGAGAGCGTGACCTGGACAAACCAACAATAGAGGGTGAATGGGTGTGAGAGAAACACAAGGAAAATGCTCTTTCACAGTGGTGTGTGTCTGTGGATACAGTTGATCTTATTTATTGTCTCACTTTATCTAAAGGAGGCTAAAACTTGATTTTTTTTCTCCCTCTTTGCTGGATTGTCCTACATCCTCTAACATTCACTCCTTTTTCTGAGCCGAAAGGCGAAGCTCTCAATTTACCGGTCAATCTACGATCCTACCCTCACCTATGGTCATGAGCTGTGGGTCATGACCGAAAGAACGAGATCAAGGATTCAAGCGGCTGAAATGAGCTTTCTCCGCAGGGTGGCAGAGCGCTCCCTTAGAGATAGGGTGAGGAGCTCTGTCACACGAGAGGAGCTCGAAGTAGAGCCGCTGCTCCTCCACATCGAGAGGAGTCAGCTGAGGTGGCTTGGGCATTTACATCGCATGCCCCCCGGACGCCTCCCTCGGGAGGTGCTCGGGTGCCGTCCCTCTGGGAAGAGACCTAGGGGAAGACCAAGGACACGCTGGAGCGACTACGTCGCTCGACTGGCCTGGGAACGCCTTGGGGTCCCCCCAGAAGAGCTGGAGGAAGTGTCGAGGGAGAGGGAGGCCTGGGTGTCCCTGCTCAGACTGTTGCCCCCGCGACCCGTCCCCGGATAAGCGGTTGAAGATGGATGGATGGATATCTCTTTCCTCCTGAGCCACAGCCAAAAGCTGCCCTTCTCTGCCTCTTCTGCCAGTTCCCTCATGGCTTTCTTGCGCCCTGCTCCTTTGAGCCACCGCTTTGATTTTAAGGCGTTCCAGCTCGTCCCTTTTCACCTCTGCCACCACCATGGCTTTCTGCTCTTCTTGCATGCTCCATCTGAGGCCTGCTCGGCCCTCCTGGACACTGCCGACTACCTCACAGTGTTTTAGTCTGCTGATCGTCCTGTCCACCTCTTCCTGGGCTTTCCACTTTCTCCCTGTTCATACTTGGGGGGCAGCTGCTTTCACCTGTTGATCAATGGAATCCCTCAGCTCCAGCACCATCTGAGCCTTCTCTTGTTTGTAGCCCAGACCTATGGATTGCAGTGGCAGGTGAAGTGCATTTCTGCCAAACAGGCCTACATCTGATAGGCATCCCGGCAGTCCCAGCCACTTCTTCATGAACGAGTTTCAGCCTATCCATCCTGTCCACCACGGATGAGGAGACTTTGCTCATCTTCAGAGGCCACATCACCCTTGGGTACAGTATGAACTGGTAATTCCATCCCTTGTACTTGCCGGGGAGCTAGCTCTGATTGATCCTGCCCAAGCCATCTGCCAGCTGCTTCCTCACTGTTTCCTCCATTTTCTTGTCAGAGAGTTCTGCAGAATAGGAACGACCAGGGCTGCGGATGGGTTAGCTTGCCAGCAGTGGGAACTCTTCACCACCTACAACAACTGTGGTATTATCGCTTTTAACACCTTTCCTCAGGTAGAGACTGCACGATTTGGCAGGTTTGATCTTCATCCTTGCCCACCTCACAAGCTCGTCAATCCTCTTCATCAGTCTCGTTGTACATATAGCCTCTCACTGGTTATACATTTTTGTGTCTGTATTTTGGGCCATTTTGGCCTAAATTATTATTAATGTACTTTTACCTTCTTGACTAAGTTTTAGTGAGTATGGATGTATATAGTTATATATGGACCATATATGGACCGTATTTGCTGGACTATAAGTCGCTCCAGAGTATAAGTTGCACCAGTGCCCTCTAGTGTGTGTCAGTGAGAAAATAACGAACGTAATTTTCAATTAATGTAAATTTTCAGTGGTACAGGAGTAGCAGATACTGGTACACAAACCCAGAGTGCCCTCTAGCGTCTGGCAGTGTGAAAATGACAAGATGACAAAATGACTGATGACTGGCACCTTACTGTGCCCCCTCCAGGGGGGTCAGCCCCACTATTTGAGAAGTACTGATCTAGATTTAAATTCTGGGAAATTTACTCGACTGATGTCTCAGGGAACAGCTTGTCTTTATTCTAAAGGCTCTGGTGGACACCCTTTTTTACACAACCTAGAGCTTGCACCTTCATTCAGTTTTTTTATTTGTGACTTTGGTTCATAGTCAAACCCTGGGGTCCTTTGATCTGATTTTTCTTCAGTGACTTGGATTATGACATTCGACTGCAGGGACTCCACCTAAACTATTCCTCAGTGACTTTCGACTGAACATCTTAAACAGCTGAACCTTCTTGGTTGAGTCAGCCAAGACTTTTGTCAACTGTTTTGCTTTCTTCTAAAGTCATCAATTGTGAAGAAAAGTAATAGATAGATGTATAACTCACCCTCCCAACCCCTATCGGTCGGATCCACATTCCACGAATTGAAATATTATTGAAAACATGATAACCTATACTGTATAATTTTATCTGTACATACCACTGTATGACTTGCTACCACCCAGTGAGTGGAGGCTTGTTATCATTCAAGCAATACAGCAGTGTGCCATATTCCATTGGAAGCCCCCTGTCAAACTTCAGTCAAATTCTTTTGAAAGGAACCTTTCCTTTTTAATTGGACTAAAAACATGAGAATACACGGTCCAAAGACCTTAATGTAAACCCTAAAAATACTTGTGTTGTAATTGTTCCTGAAAACAGTGACTGACACTTAATGATGTATTTAACACTGGTCAGACCTCATTTATTCAGCATGAAAATAGGAGCACTGAGAAGGCTCCACATTTACTATGTAGTAACGGCTACTAAACGAGGACAGATGTGTAAATTAGAAATGAGAGCCATGTGGAGCCTGCCATTTTTGGAGCTAAGTTTAGAGCTTGTTAAAAGAATAATGACCATCAAAGGCTTGTAATGGAGAGGAATAGCGATCAGAGTCTGTATCATGGTGATTTATTACATTTTAATGGGAGGGAAATGCTGCAGTGCACATAGAATAGCCTTTATTGTCATTGTAACACGAGGGTACAACGAAATTGAAGAATCAAAGTACAAGGCAACATTGTATAAGGACACCTAAAAAATAAATGGATTCTGCCAACACAGCCTATACTACTATTCTCTCTAGTCAAATAAACGTGACTGTGCGAAGATGGTGACCTCGATTCTGTACCAAAGTATGTTTGCAATTGCAAACCTGTACCGTGAAATATTCTCCTCACATGGAGGTAGAACGAGATTTTTTTCTTTTAATATATTTTTATTTAGTGCTTTTTAATTATTAGCATTTTTGATCAGAATTATCACAGGGTTCCTGTGGGTTAATCACAATTAATCATGATTACTTGAAACAAATCAACATTACTAACTATGCCCCAAAAAAAGTGCCGTTGGAAAAGAATGACAAATTACAGCAGGTAGATTTCTGTGTGTATGTGTGTGTTTGTGTGTGTATTTCACACCTTTTTTATTTGTGATTACCGTATTTTTTTAAATCTGATTGATCTTCACAAAATAAATATCACAGTTATCACATGTTTATTTTTAAATTAATTGAACTCCCTAAATCAGGGGTGTCAAACTCATTTTGACCGGGGGCGACATCAGCAATACAGTTCCCCTTGAAGGGCCAGTTGTAAATGGAGTACTATATAGATAAGGGGTCCCCAACCCCCAGTCCGTGGACCAGTACCAGTCCATAGGTCATTTGGTACTGGGCCGCAGTGGGTCACAGTGAAAAAATGTACTTAATTTTTACTAATTTTCTTCATTCAAACAAAATCCAGTCATGTCCATTTACTTTCTTTATTTAAAAATAAAAGGTCATTCAGACTCTGTTTTATTTTGAAAATTTAATGATCATTCAATGCTTAGCACCGTGCTACCGGTCTGTAGCACTGGGTGGTACTGGCTGATCAGTCCTTGGAACAAAAAAGGTTGGGGACTGTTCCATAACAGACTAATACGTGTTTCTGCAATTGATTATTATTTGATTGATTATAAAAACTTTTAATTTCTTAGGTTTAGAAACTCTGCTGCATGGACTTTACTAAATGCTTTTTAAGGTCCCATGGGCCTCACAAAATGGCTTGCCGGGCCGCATTTGCCCCCCGGCCCTTGAGTATGACACGTATGCCCTAAATGCATCATTACCATCTCATGCCAATAATGTATCATTTCTTTTTCCATTGCCTGATTGTGTCAACCCCGTCGTCGACAGAAAGTGTCAACAGCTTTGGAATAGTACATTTTAGAGCTGGACATTTTATCACAGAGGAACAAATTATTTCATGGAAAGTGTTGCCTCGTCAGAAAAGGAGAACATTTGAGATTTGGGCTTGGCTTCCTGTGC